ACATAATATGTAGAGAAATTTTTTTTTGAAAAATGTAACAAAAATAATTAGAAAACTAGGTTAATTTTTTAAACATTAATGTAAATTAACTTTTTCATTTTCAAGCAAATATAAAAAACGAAATCTAATTTGAATATCGGTTTTAGTTTTTCCGTCTACCCCTTTCTTTCACAACCAACAAATATATGAGTTCAGGCAAATCGAGCTTGGCCATGAATTGCTGACAATCATAACCCTCTGAAAAATAAAAAGTAGAGCTGTTGTTCTCCTAAAACGGGGGAGGGAGGTTGGTTCAAAGTGGCCTATGCTAAAAAATTATTAAGTTTGATTTTGATCATATAATATTATGAGTATAACCTGACATTTTTTGAAATGCATTATAACTGAAAATTAAGTTTATAATATTTATTTCTCATATTATCAATAAGAAAATGGAGATCTATATTATCATTCTCTCTTTATATTTGTAAACAGATGGGGGGGGGGGACTAAAAATTGCAAATATTTCAATTAGGACCAAAAACGTTTGCAATAGGTGGGCTCATAGTTTAGAATTTTTGTTAATATGAATATAATGGTAATCTATGATTATTTCCTTTAGAAAAATTATTACACCAAATATTAAATTTGCAATATATTATGATAATAGTTGAAAGTTTGATTAAATATCATTCAGTTTATTTAATTTTTGGAATATTGTTTTAATATACTAGAGTAATTTTGTATTTTTGAAACTTATTAATACGCTTTGGTGTATCTTGAATCTAATGAAAAAGGCTAAAATTTTGCTACTATTGAATGATTATCACTTTATATGTTTGTGGATTCGATTCCAAATATTGCCTTCAATGCAAAATTCACGAGAATAATATATCAAAATATTTGCTGCCTCCGCTTCATATAATTTAGGAAATAGATTAGCTTAGACGATTTTTTTGTAAATTTTTGATATATGGAATCCATAGAGGTATTTCCTAGCCTCATTATAAAAAATAAAGGAAAAACATTTTAGAATATTTTTATCGGAAAATAATTTTAAAACATCTTTGATATAAATTACAAATTTTATAATTAATGTAAGGTTTAACTAATAGCTCATGTTAAACTAGTAGGTAAAGAAAGGTTTTATGCAGATAAAGTAGACTGAGTAAGCCAGGCATAGCTTTGAAAGTCATCTTATACTTATTTCTATTTTATATATTGTAAACATAAATTATTCTATTTATTATTAAAAGAAAAAATAGATGAGAAAAAATCTGTGAAACAAAAAAATTATTCTTTTAAAGTTTATAAGGGTATTGGGTATATTTGCTAAAATTGTGATTCATTAATATTTACATTCTTTCAAATCTATGCTATTAATTTTTCGGGATAACCATTATAACATTTTTATTCAAGATTATGTTTAATTTACTTAGAATTGTGATTTATAAATATTTACATTATTTTTTTTCCAATTTATAATAAAACTTTGGGTTCAGCATCACAAACGAATATTTATCATGTGAAATACTTTTTAAAAGCTTTTTTAATAAAGGTAAGCCAATTGTGTTTTAGGTCTTGTATTTATATTTTACCAAAAATATTTTATAAAATAAGAGTAATTGATTTTATTCAAATTATAGGTAAATTCATAGCAAATTTGGATATATACTATAATTATGGCAAAAAATTAAAAATACAGCAATCATTATAAGTGTATCATATATGGATTTAAAATTTATCTCCTTTATTTTAGAAGGTAGCTAATGCTTAAAATTAGAAAATATAGGTTAGAGTTAATATATATATATATAAATAGTTGAGTAAGTTTTGGCAATAGTTATCCAAATAAAAAATCCGACTTGTTTACAACATTAAGTACTGTTTATTATCCCTAATTTCTCATTAATATAAAAAAATTTACGTGACCTATGTTTTGCATAATAAAAATTTTAAGTGATAAAAAAAATTTGATAAGCAACCAACCCAGTATTAAAAACCTTTATTACGAAACAAATTTTATCGAAATCATTATCACGAAATTTCATTTATCGCTAAGAAATTGAGCAAAGGTAATATTGCTACACCAATTTCGAGATAATCTTACCCCGAAATATTCAGTGAAGACAATATCGCGAACCTTTTACAGCGAATTTATTTTTGCAAAACTCAGCGAACACTCTCGAGCAAATAGATTTTAGCGAAACTTTCATCTTAAACCAATTTTAGCAAAACTTTAATGGCGAACCCATTGTAAGGAGATTTTTTATAGCGAATGTAGCCAGACAATGAATATATTGCGATGCATTAATTAAATGAAAAACAATATATTGAATAATAATTTACCAAGATAAATTCTTAAATTATAAGTTTTAAGGATATTTCGTTACTTATTGTCTATTAAATTAGCAAGAGTTAACAGGGCTGTAATTCCTTGTAAATTAAGTAGTAAAATTATGGATTTATTACATGCAGGACATCAAGGTCGAGACAAGATAAAATCTTGGGCACGAGAAGATGTATGGTGGCCTGGTATAGGCAATGATATTAAAAGGATTACAAGGAAATGCGTTCATTGTAATACCTGTTCACCTATGCCCTGTAAGGAGGGAAGTCAAACTGGCCCCGATCAAAGAAACCGTGGAATGAGAGCTCCTCCCCATTTTTTTAATCTTAATAAAAAGTCATACTTTTTAATGGTAGTTTTGTATTCAAAATGGATAGAATAGAGGTTTATGGTTATACCACTAAAATAGTTATTAAGAAAATACGGGAATTATGCCCAATTCGGTTTGCCTGACACAATAGTGTCTGATGGGAGTCATGCCTTCATAAGTGATGAGAAAAATTTATATACTAAGTCACAAACCCAGCATATTCTTGCGCCGCTGTATTATCCCAGCTCGGACAAGCTGAGAGGATGTTAGCAATTAGTTAAAGGTAGGATTAGAAAAGCTGGTAATCATAAGGTTAAGGCGTTTATATCTCAATTATATTACCTTAATTCTCGCAATCGAGAGGGGGTTATTGGAGTTATTTTTAGGTAGACGAACAAGGGGTCCTTTAGATATATTGAAACCAACATTACTGCCTCACTGGGAGAAAAAGCCGGGACCAGATTTTCTGTAGGACAGAATTTTTGGGCCAGGTTGTTTGATAATAATAAAAGGAAATGGGAGAAGGGAATAATCATACAGAATATGGGATCAAAATTCTCTTGTGGTGAGGCATAAAAATAACCTCAAGATTCGGATTTAAAAAAAATATTAGAGGGTATTTTTAAACACATTTATATAATTAATTGTTAATGATTTGATAATCAATGTGAATATATTGAGGTAACAAATATAATATATTTGATATATTGATCGCGAAAAGTAACGATCATATATATAATCATGATCTTAAAACTGTTATTTTAGGCCTGTATGGGTTACCAGTGATGTATGAATTTTTATATTCAAAACTGACTGTTATTAGCGCATTATTTTTATTAATACTTATTCTTTCAATTTTACTACACAAAGGATTTCGTTTTTTGGTAACAATAATACCATTTTTTTCCATATTATTTGGAAAATTTTATGCAAAATTAGACAATGGTAAGATTGCATTTGTCAAAAAATTATTTCTCGATCAATGGAAAATAATTAAAAATGTATATTTAGGTTTAGTGATCATGATACATTTGAACATGGCAATATATTTCAGTTTAATTCACCAAAGAGGCACTTGGTAATTAATATATAATTTCTGTATTTCAGTTTGATTCACCAAAGAAGCACTTGGTAATTTTAATTTAATTTTTATAATGTTGATAAGATCTAACATGTGAAAATAAAACTTATTAAGAAATATCAGTGATCATAGATGATAACAAAGTTTTGATAAGGGTAATATATGGGAAAAAAAGTCTTATTTATCTTAAACAATAAAGACTATTTTAATTTAAGAATTAAAATGTTATCAGTTTAATGAACACATTTATTTTACTAGAATCATTTAAATAATACCACGTGTCATGGTATTAGAAGGTTTTAAAAAAAAAAGTAACTAATCACCATGAAGATAATATAAGAGATTATTATTAGATGATCAACGTTTTACCAGCTAAATCAAGCCAACGATAACTTGATGACTATCGTTATTCAAATCAAGCCCACAATCATGGGATTATTATCGGTACAACTAGTGATCGAGCTCAAGATTATATAAATAGAATAAATGTAGACAACTGGATATCAGATATTTATCCCTATGAATATGATATGAAAAAAAAATCCTTTTACTATTCAAAACAATTTGTAATATCTTCTTTATAATATTTTTTAAATATATAGTAAATATTATATTTAATTGTGAGGAATGTAATTGTTGGTAAATCGCCTCAAAAATTGCGTTTTGCAGACAGATCAAGAATAAAAACGGTCAATCGTTCCGTTTATTTAATGAGCAGCTTTATAAAGACCCACCCAATATTTGACGTTAAACGATATAATTTTACAAAAGATAAGAGATAAATTGAAACGGGGGAAAAAAATAATTAAAATTTAATTCTATTAAAATGACCTGACAAATAAAAATGTTTATAAAATTTTTCTAGATAAACATTTTATTTTGCGTTTGTGTAAATTTTTTTTATTTGCATTTATTATTAACAATTTTCTTAGAAACTCAAGAAAAAATTTGATAAAATAATTTTTTTATATAGATAAATTGGAGTTAAAGGCAATAATATTATATTATATTATATAATATTATATTAGTCATCAAAAAAAATTATTAAAATTTAATTTTATTAAAATGACGTGCCAAATAATAATGTTTATAAAATTTTTTTAGATAAACATTTTATTTTGAGAAATTTCTCTTGTGTAAATATTTTTTTTATTTCCATTTATTATTAACAATTTTCTTAGAAACTCAAGCAAAAAATTTGATAAAAAAATTTTTTTTATATAGATAAATTGGAGATAAAAGCAATAATATTATACAATATTATATTAGTCATCAAAAAAATTTTAATAATTTTTGTTAAAATTTTTTAAGAAAAAATATCATTATAATTATTTACTAATTATAGAGTTTAGGTGAAACAAAATATTCAAAATTCAATCTCTAAAAATGATAAAACTGCTATTGATTCTCTCCATAATGGTTTTGACCATATTCCAATTCAATAGTAAATAAATATTTTTTTTTATGTCATTAATAATTTATAGCATATTTTTATTATTCTTTTAAAATTATATAAACTTTAAAAGCTTTTAAATATTTAATATAAATTAGGGGCATTCAATTTTTTTTATAATTATCAGACTCGCAGACCAGCCTGAACTGAACTTAGAAACAGCGGATATATACTGCCTGGCTAGAGTCGTTTAATAGTAATATTATTTTAAAAAAATCAGTAAAATAATTTTAACCCGATGAGACATTATTAAATTTTAAATTATATCAATAATCATACCGAGGTTTCATTTAATCAACCCTCTTCCAAAACCAAACGGATGCAAAAATTGTCTCAAATAAAAAATATATTTTAAAATCTAAATCAAACAGAGACATAATAATAAATATTAAAAATCTAAATCAGGTATAATATTAAAATGACTTGGGGTATACAAAAATAATAAATAGTTTTTTTTATATAAAATTAAAGTTAGGTGTAAAAATAGAAGAAAAATAATTTTATTTAGACAGACATACTCTATTGTGGAATTTTATGATAAAATTATAAATTAGTTTAATCACAAATTAATTTAAATTAATTTGTTATCTATTTTTCACTTTAACGTAGTAGCATATAGATTTAATAGAAAATTTAATTAGAATCTTAAATCGCACAGAGCTAGTTATTATCTATATAATATTTTTTATTTATTAATACGTAATCTTTACTCCAATAATAGCTCTAACTTTTCTACCTATGGATTTTGTTTTATAAAATTATTTATAAATTTTTAGACCGTATATATTAATATTAATACTTAACATTATTTAATATTTAATATAATAAAAATTTATTATTATTTGATCCTTCCTAAATGCTTAAAATATCTGGATAAAAATATATATTTTCTAGATCTATAATAATATTTAAATAATATTAAATTAATAATTAATATAAGTACAAATTCTGGGATCAATCAATTGTAATTTTAAATAATAACAACCATCATAAAATAAACATTAGTAATAAAATTAATATATATTTATATGTTAAACAATGATGACTGTAATTATTGAGGAAAGTTTTGATTAAGATAATTTTTTAAAAACTAAATACAACATTAACAGTCCGAAAGAAGTCCTAAAATAGCATTTTTATTAGGTCATAAAATAAATATGAATTAAACTTCCACCCTGGAAATTTTAAATCATATATATGTCGTATGGGGATTCAGAATCTCTGGTTTTTAAATCCTTTACCAAGGGCGATTTAAAAAATTTTAAAATCCGATTTAACCGGAAATGGATTCTGGCATGTTTAGAGTATTTACCCTACAAATTTCAGCCAATTTTGCCATGAACCTTAGAACTACTTCAAATTTATATTAATTTTTATATGGATTTTTCATATAAATTTAAAAAAAATACTTAAATATCTATGACAGAAATTTTTATTGTAAATACTCGATACATTCTAGAATACATTTCGGTTAAATTGGATTTTAGAATTTTTTAAATGGCCCTCGGTAAAGGATTTAATCAAGAGGTTCCGAATATCCCCATGGATTCCTAATCTCCATATAACATTTTATTTACTAAGTAGTCGGAAAATAAATTATTATATCATATTTGCCCTGTTCAAAAGTTAAATTTATTTAAAACAGAGGCTTAAATCTTCCTAGTTATTTTTATATGAGGTTTTTGTACAACACTAATCATAATCATATTATATTTTTTTAATATTTATACAATAATATTTATATAATATTTCAATTTGGATAAAAACATAATAGAAATTATCTTGGATACAATATAATATTTAAATATGAATCTCTATTTATCGGATTGCTAGAATTTTAGCCCTAGTGGCAATTTCTTATATAATTATCAAATTATTGTTAATCTATTATTCTTGTTATATATTATATTGATCGTATTTTATATTTAATAAAAAAAATAGGTGCAACTACTCCAAGTAAATATTTAAAAAATCTTAATTATAACAACTACAATATTATTATTATTATTATATATAAAATAAATATGATTTATATTTTCTTTAAATATCTGAATTCATTCTTAATGGATAAATATGTAAAGGTTTATCTTAATAGCCACCTTATATTTTTATTCTATGCGAATTCATATTTAATACAGATTAAATAATTTTGTTTAGAAGGCAGTGTAGTGCTAGATCTGCTTAAATATAAAATTGTTGTTTAGATTAATAATTTTTTAATCTAAAATTTTGCTTTTACTTTAAATTTTTTGTCTTGCTCAATTTAATTTTGCTTTGGTTCCCTCTCAAACTTGAATGTCACCCAGAAATCTCAAATTTAAACACAATCAATGAGAAATTATAATTTATTACACCAAAAATTTTTCGAAACTAAAATTTTATTAAAAACCTTATTTTAGTTTTTTTGATTTAATAAACCTAATACCTAAAAATAACCTAATCATGGAATAAATAAAGAATATTATAAATATTCGAGCCAAAAGAGATTAATAAATTTTAATTTTAAAAAATATTTAATTTTGATAAAATAATTAGCTTAAAATTAAATATCTCTAAATATTTTTTAAAAAAAAACTAATCATAATCTACTCTTAATATATAGTAGTGACATAGAGAATAAATAGAAATTTTATTTTCTAAAATTTTCTAAAATAAATAAATGATGCGACAAAAGTCAAATAAAAATTTGAAAAATAAAATAAAATACTGAGTTAAAAATGTATATGATCTATCAAGCTAATGTGAAACATAAATTTTACAAATTTGGATATCGAAATATATTCAAAACAATATTAACTGATGTTAAAAATATGATTTTTTTTTAATTATATATAAAAAATTTTGAATATATAGTAATGATATGATTAAATATATAAATTTATATCTCAAGGCGAAATTAATTTATATTAAGATTTATAATATTAACGAATATATAGATGTATATATTATATCTTTACCGTAAACCAAATTTAAAAAATTATATTAGACAGAGATATGATAAAAATAAAAAGACCTAAATTTGCGTGTTGCATCAAAGCAAAGACTCGTACTTAGTTCATTTACAATCTTATAATTGGTTTAGAATGCTGTAGTGTTAACTAACTTGGTTTGCTACAGACTTGTATAGAATAAAACTTAATTGAGATTTTTTAAATATGTTATTTAATGCAATAAAAGAATCGCCCTTATTTGAAAGATAATAATTTTAATTAATTATTTATTTGAGATACAAAGCAGCATAATAATCTCTCAATCTTATATGGTAATTATTGAAAGATAATTTTTTACTTATTTTAAAATATTTTATTTAGATACCAGTCCAACGAATATGAGTAAATTAAATATTAAATAATAAGTGACATTTTATTTTATCAGTCTAATTTATGTTTAAAAATACCGTAAATAAGATTTAATTTATATATTTAATATAGCGATTAAAATACCTTATTAGTTTTATTATATTGCTCGATTTGAGCCGATTTTTAAAAAACCACAAAAGGCCTAGAGATTTTTCAAATGGATGCCTAAACCACCTAAGTATTGAGTTAGCCGTTTTATAAAAACCGTGTCAAAACGAGCCATAATACTACCAAATATTATACATTTTGATTTTAAAACAAATTTATACATAGTCTAATTCTAAAAAAAAACATAGCATTCAAACCTAGTAAGACGTGCTGTAAAATGGAAAAATATTCCAAGCATGGTTTTAGAAATATAAAATCTGATCTAGTAGAAAATAATAGAAATGGCATATATAATGTAACGTTAAAATTCTCAACTCCCAAATCGTCGTACTTTAAAATGGATAGTTTCATCTTTAGAGTGCAAATATTAGAGGATGGAAAAAATCTTAGCCAAGTTATTCAAGATGGGTCGGTCCAATACAAAAATGGAAAGGTTTTTACTTCATATTTTTTTTATAGAATTTATATCTAAGAATCTCTCATAAAACGATAATTATTTATTTTTTTCTCTTTCAGATAAAATAGGAAAACTACCAATTTACAATGACAAATTTAAATCAAAGCTTGGAATACTTCATAGATATTTTAATGCACTTCCAGAATGTTTTAATTTATCAGTCTTCATCTAAACACACATTGAAATGTAATATTATTATACATTCATTTGTCTAAATATTAAATTTAAAGGAAAAAGAATAGTTTTTAGGGTACATTAGTTTGTATAATTATTTTAATCATTAAAAAAATTTCCCATTTAATTATAATAACTCTATGACTTATTAGGAGAAATTTTAAAAATAGAGGCAATAGTTATTCTTTTAAAAATTTCAGAGATACATTTTAACAATTATATTGAATTTCAAATCATATAATTCAAATAAAAAAATTATTATTATGTAAATTTTATTTTATTCAATTTATAGATCGGTCTCCAAGACGTCTTTTAATTGGTAGGCAATTTAATTTATTCAAAAATATATTTATTTTATACTTAATAAATCATATTTTTTTCAAATTGCCAAAGCACTATATAATTAATTGAATATTTGAATATAGATAATACATTCATTCGCTTTCTCATAAAATTAAATTACGAGCAAAAAACCAGTCAAGAATGATGGGGAATCAGAATTTTATCCTACGGTTAAATCTGAATACCCTTTTATTTGATGATAAATAAATCAGCCTAAATCAGAAAAATATAGGGAAAGAAAAAAAAATGATTCCCAATCATTAACATCAGAGCTCCCGTTTGTCAACTGCTTATGCACCCCAAAGCGTGAAGATGGGAGATAAATTAGAGGGAAGTAAAGAAAAGAATAAAGGAATGAATAGAAGAGAATAGAAATAAGAACTAAAATATGAAATATGAAAAAAATTTTTTTTTATAATTTAAGTTTTCAACTTAGGGTTTCAAGACACATGCATTTGTAGCCATATAAAAAGAGACAATAATGTAATAAAATTTATAATATCAAAAGTTTTACCTGTTTTTAATTGTTTTTAAAATTATATCACCACGTTACCTCTTTTTATTTGATGATGAAGATGTTGTCTTTTCTTTCCCCAAAATATGTCGTAAATAATTTTTTAAGGGTAAAAAAATTGAAAGCATAAAATAGAATTTACTGTTATTGATTAAATAGTTGATAATTATTTTGACTTTTCTTTGCCGAAAGTATGTCTCTAAAATTTTATTTAAAGTATAAAATTGAAAGCATCGAATAGAATTTACTGTAGCGGATGATGAATGATAAGAATTAAATAGTGTATAAGATTTTGTTTGTTGATACAACCTAGTTTAATTTATATCAATTTACTGACCAAAAAATTGAATGAATAATAATTATAAAAATCAAAAATGGTCCATATAAGATTTTACTGTTCATAAAAATTAAAAAGCTTATAAGAATGAGGCTAGCCAGTTTAATTAATTTAAAGATAAAAAAATTAAAAAAGGATATATGATATACTATTGAGGATGTAGAAGCAATAAAATACTGCTCTCAATTTTCTCTCTAAATTTAATTAAAAAGAATATAAATTACTACCTTGTTACTAAAATAAGACCAGATTAATTTACATTATTTAGATCCATCTTAAATTATAAAATAGAAATTATAATGGCGGTTATATTCTGCTAGGATATAACTTAGAATTTTATTAATAATCTGGAAATATTTCGATAAAAAAAATACTGAATTTATAAGAGCGGCCAAACGCTAAACAGCTATAGCAAATAATGTCGTATTGAGTTGTGAGTTTGATTCCACTTCATGGCTTGTTGCACTTTTTCATAAAACGCTATAATTTTCCTGTGGCACAGCTTTTATTATATAAAAGATATGATTTACGCGGATTGGCTCAAAATAACCCCTTGAAAAAATTTTGAAAGAATTTTTCTGTCTAGCTAGTTACCTAATTATGTATGAGTTATACCCGGAGTTGGGCAGGTCCTCCAAAAAAAGAATCTAGATACAGGTACAGATTCTTTATAAAAAAATGAATCTTAGATCCAGATACTAGTATCTTTTTTAAAATATCAAAAAGATACAAGATAAAAGATACTTGTATCTTTTACTAAATTAGAGTATCTTAAATACAAGATACTTCTAAATTATCATTACCAATTAAATTAGAATAGTTCATAAAATACAGTTTTTATTATTTATTTGTGAAGAACATAGCATACACATATAAGAATGAATATTTACAAAAATTAATAAAATATTTATTAATAAATTAATTATAATAACCAGGGATTTCAATTTAGATTTTGCCCTTTAATAGCTTAAAAAGGGAAGGGAGAGTAGTATATTTAATTGGAGTTAAAAATTTGCAAATAAGAAAATAAAATTAAATCAAATGATTTATAAGAATTTGCAGGTTTTTTTCTGTGTTGTTTTAAATATAACTTATATTCGGAGTATATGGCTAAATGGCATCTCTATAAAAAAATATACAAGTTTTATTTTATTCATTATCTTTAATAAGTATTTATCATTACTTGTTCGTGATATTTATGTATTTTTTAAATTAGTTTATCTTCTAATATAACTTATTAATTCTTGAGTTTGTAATATGATATATTTAAATCTCTTTTCAAATTTTTTTTATATATTTCTTGGAATCATTAATTATATATAAAAAATAAGAAAATAATGTACAACATTATATTATAATTAGTAAATACATAACGATTTTCTTTAATGCATTTTAAATTGATTAAATTTTGTAAATAATCAGGGTTGTACAAGTCGGTCAATTGACAGGTCAAATTCAATAAATTGACCGGTCAATTGACAGACGGTATATTTTGGTCAAATATGGTCAAATACTATAAAATGTTATTGGTGAATAACTATATTTATTTAATGAACTAATATGAATTTAAAGCATATTTATCAATCTAATTTGTTTACAAATTATTTTATAATATATTTGTATCTTAAAGGCATCGATTTAATTATAACTTTATTAAAAATATAAAATTTTCTTATTAAAATATTACAATTTCAATTTGAAATATAAAAAAAAAGAATTTTTCTCATTATTAATTTGATTGGATTTAAATATATAAATAAATATAAAAATTTTACTTAAGCATAGTTTGAGAAATTTACTAATTGCCAATTTATATTACATTATGTACAATTATCCAAACAAGATGGGCATCATAAATAAAGTGTAATGAGCAAATATAAATATGCAAGAAAGCACTGAAAGCAGCTATTGAAGAAGTTGAATATTTGTTCGTGAGAAATTATCAATAATATATTAAATGATATTTTGGACAAAAAATTTAAAATTTTAAACTATTCATAAACATTTAGCTATCTAATTGACCTTGGCTTATGTAAAAAACGAGATGCTTAATTTAGAAAACACATAATACAATCATGTCCTTGATTTTTTAATTTACCAACTTTTATAGTCAAAACAAAAGATTCTTTATTATAAAATTGTTTCCTATATATAGTCTTTTATAATTTTCATTTAACTTCTACTAATATGCAATTACATTGACCTCCATAAGATAATATAAAATATAAGAAATATATAATTCAAATAGCGTAACCTTTTAATATATATATAAACATTCTATATTCTTTCCCACCAAGTTAAGATCGTCTATCAATCTTTTTATTATCAAGTTCAAGTTCATCTATTAATCTTTTTCTTGGCTTTCGTTCCCTTGTTGGATAACGCGGTTGCCTTCCTTTTTGACTTGGTTCAATTGGGATTATTGATTTGGTTTCGTCTGGTTCTTCCTTTATTTGTAGTGATCTGCGTGTTTTCGTAATATTTTATCTTTTTCTTCTACGTTATACGAGAATTTTGCTTGTTGATTCATTATTTTTCCTTCATGCCATCCTTTTTCAAGTGGATTTTTTATCCAAACTATTTCGTTTTTTAATCTCTATGTATGCTTTCGTTTAACTGGTCGTGTTTTACTACAGAGGTTTCTAATTAGTAATTGATGGTTTCACCTAGTCTAATAAAGTATTTAGTCTTCTCCCCATAAACAGTTTGGAAGGTATTCGGCCCGTTGACGAATGTTCGGAATTTCTATATGTAACTAATACTCCATTAAGGCATTTTTCCCCATCATTTGTTTGTACTCTATTAGCAAAATACCGTTTTATAGTTTGTATGCATCTTTCAACTAATCCGTTACTTCTCGGATGGTATGGTGTAGTTTTTATGTGTTGTATATTCTTATTTTTGCACCATTTGTAAAATTCATTTGAAATGAATTGTGGACCATTGTCTGTGACAATTTGCGTGGAACACCATATCGTGTAAGCCATTTTTTTAATCTATTTATTAAATTTTTACTTGTGGTATCTTTGATTCTATCGATCTCTATCCATTTTGAATATGCATCGATTCCAACCAGCTAATAAAATCCGTCTAGTGGTCCGGCAAAATCTAAATGTACCCTTTCCCAGGGTTGTGCTGGTAGATTCCATGGGTATACGGCAACTTCTGGTATATCTCTGCGATGTTTTTGACACCCAATACAGCGGTTGACTAATTTTTCGACATCTTTATCTAATTTTTTTCACCATATATAATGTCTCATAATGGATTTCATCGATGTAATACCGGGATGACCTGTATGTGATATATGTAAAACTCGGTAGTGAATATGGAATTATTAAGCAACCATTCCAAAATAGGATACCGTCATCATTTTCTATTTCATCTATTCTTGTTCTAAAAGCTTGTAATTCTGGTGCTTGATTTTGTATATTAGTACCATTTAATAATATTTTTACTCTTCTTAAGATTGGATCTTTAGCAGTTTCATCTCTAAGTTCTTTTCTTGATATAGTTAATGTGTCATAAGTATGATTTCGCATATATTTTACTGTTTTATTTTTACTTGTTATTTTATTATCATTTTTCTCTATTGGGTTTAGCGATCAAGCATCTGCAATTATATTACTTGCGCATTCTTATACATTATTTCATAATCATATGCAGATAATTTATAAGCCCAACTTAACAATCTATGGTTTGTTAAGGCGTTTAAATCTCTGTTATCCCCATATATTTTTATTAAAGGTTTGTGGTCCATTCGTATTTTAAATTTTTGTCCATACAAATATTTATGAAATTTTTCTACACCGTTTACTATGGCTTTGACTTTTTTGTCGATTGTCGAA